TCTTTTCTCTCCCCTCTCCTCTCACCCAAGCCATTCTGCATAAGCGGAGCTGTGGGCGCAGCATACTGCTGCTACACTTCAACGCGGGAATGCGTATAATAATTATAATAATAGAGGAGTGGTGAAATGCATTGCAATGCACAGATACGCCATCCCGCTGATGGGAGGCCAGATGTAAAACATCTCTTTCTCTCTCCGTCTCGTTCTCCTTCTTCTCCTCGCTTTCTTGTCCTTCCTTTTTTTCTCCCTATCTGGCAGAGTCGTCAAGTCATCTTCTGTGCATTATGACAAAACTAATGTGTGCTGTTTTGTGCTTTTTGAGCTTGTCCTATACATTACGTTCCACTGATGTTGCTCTCTAAGTATTTGTGTCTTCGCCAATGCCTGCGTACATGTCTCTGTTTATCTTACTAGTGTAAGTCTGTCCCTCTGTTAAACTTATCATTGAAGTCTGTATTAGATAAGACGTACGATAATTGCTAACTATGGTCAGCGAATTTGTAGTTTCAATCGATCAGGCTTCACGGTTATACTCGGAGGCAGGAGTAGACTTATAGAAATAATTTGGTGTTCCCAATCGTCACTGTGTCGCAAAACTTCATTATAATGATACATGTACACCGAACTACTACACCCACAAAGAGACGTAGAACGATGATAACCAGTGATTTCTGTGGTCGCTATGAAGTTAGGGGATTTTGTCTAGTCATACGTCATATAATATGTTGAGTACGAACAGGACGTCATACTGTCAAGACACAACGGACAACGGAAACGGGTAGATGGGACGACATTGTAGACGGAGAGGAAGAGACCAAGACAAAGACGAACAGAACGACTACATTATGGAAAAGAGAGACAAGAGATCAAGTGAGGGTGGCAAGATAAAGGGTCGGTTTAGCTATGGCAAATATGGGTGCACAAGTAGCTACCCAGGCCAATGGAACAAAAGGGGACAAAAGAAGACAAAGGGTGAGTAAGAGGGCGCATGCAGGTCACCTTGGAAAAAGGTTGTACAACAGGAGAAGGCACCTAAGCCTCTGTTTAAACCAGATATTTCAACCCAGGTCTAGTGCAGCCCGGGTTGAAAGTCTGTACGATAGACAAAATAGGTGAGCGTTTACATGAAGACAGTTGACCAGAGTCAAATACTGATATGCCACCAAAAGTCCACTTCTAGAGTCCTGTTTGGTCACGTGAATACTTTCGCGCAAAATTTGTATGTGCAGTGCTTTTCTAACCCGGCGCGAGATACGCACAGAAGTACGTTACTACGATTTTCTTGCCCTGGGTAGATTTCAACCCTCCCCTTGGGGAGGGTTGGGGACAGGGTTGAAATACTGTTTCTCGCTTCCGCAATCTTGTATTGGCACATTTGGTGTACCTTGTAAGAAGGCCGAAGGCCTGTGGGGATTGCCCTATCAAAATTTTAAAAATAATAATAATTTAATGAGTGCAATAAAGAGTATAATAGATGCAGACAAGGCCAGACAACAACGAGTTAATGGAATTTTAAAGGATTTTTGTTATTCAAAATCGATTTTCGTGTTCCGCTCTTCAGAACGGAGGGCAAAGTGTGAAAAACATAGTGCAAAAAATATATTACTGAGTGCAAACACAAAGCATGAGGTGATACAGTGCAACATAACACGAAATTTACATCTGATAACCAGCTAGGAGGGCAACTTTAATGCGACTACATGCTTCTTTGGTTTACAAAGAACAGGATTATGCACACGAATACATAATCTTCCAGAACCTTCAACTGCTTAACATAACTTGCACGTAGGGAGGGCCCAAATATGCTCAAAATATTCGCATATTATGCTTTTCGCATATTGGGCACTTGCCTCAAAATATGCTTCGAAATCACACACAACAAGAAAACATTCTCGAAATATGCTCGAAATATGATCTGATATCAGTGATAATTATGCGAATTATTTGCTCCTTGTAGCAAAATATGCTACATTTGGTACAATATGCTAGATTGGCTACTTTATGCGACCTTGAGTCGCGGACAGTCTCTTCTCGGGTCAAATTTTCGCCCCGTGTTTGGGTGAGCATTTTTCCTTCCGGGCTAAGTTTGGAAGTGTTCCCTGACCGAGCGTGCCGCGGTAAGGTTCCTTGGCCATTTCTGCAATCTGCCCTACAGGTTAATTTTGCGAATTCTTTGCTCCTTGTAACAAAATATGCTACATTTGGTACAATATGCGAGATTTGCTACTTTATGCGACCTTGTGTCAAAAGGACAAAATATGCGAAAATATGCGCAAGCATATTCGGGCCCTCCCTACTTGCACGGCACAAAACAGAAAGTGAGAATCATCGTACACACTAAGACAATCTTCACATCTAAGACACCTCACAATCTTCAAATCTAAGACAATTTTCACACTTTTAATTATGCTGTTATAAAACGTTCTTTTTTTGTATACATTACCCTTGCCTGCGAATCATGAGGTCCCAAGTTCAAGACCCGCGCTGGTAGCAGGGAGCGTGTAAAAAGACTTTTTACGCGTGCTGAACTGCGCCGACACCCACGGTCAACTGGGTACTCACAGCTCGGAGTGAGAATAACAAGGATGCAGTTTACAGGGTTATGGGCCGTTACACGCCCGATTGGTTGAGAGACTAACCTCCTCTCCCCTGACTCACTTGTGAGGTCTGCATTCGCCACTAAGGTTAATAGGCATAGTGGTGGCCTGCGGATGTGAAGGCTAGTTTGTGTGTTTCTGAACATTCAAGCGATGCCGACGCGGATCGCGCGAATATTATTATTATTATCACCCTCGCTTCCGATAATATTCAATGAATAGAGGAACACGAAAATCATTTTTGAATAATAAAAATCCTTTCAAATTCCATTTTAAAACTCGTTGTTGTCTGGCCATGTCTGCATCTATTATACTCTTTATTGCACTCATAAAATTGCTTTCTCCACACCGACTCTTTAAGTATACAATAAATGAGGAGTCCGAGGGTTTATGACCAATAAAAACTATTATAAAAACCAAGGTCCCCCGAGGAAACACATAGACTGCCTGACTTAGGCTGAGGTTTGTGGAGGTGCCAGTGCAAGTCATATTGGCCCAGCACTATACTATTCAGCTCTTGTTGCATTTCAAGCGATTCAGTTGCTGACTACATCCCAGACGTCTACAAGTTTGCTATCATCCACAAACAAAGCATAAGATCTATATTTAAAAAATATTATGCAATAACCATCGCCAAGGCAACGAAGAGGCGATTGAGATTTTGGAAAGTAACAAGTTGCCCACTTGGTGGTGAGTCTGATCTACTCACTTCCCAAGGGCCGGGGCCAAGGCTTCAAGCATCTGCGCGCCTTTGAACCGTGAGAGCTGTGGTGTTCCTACGCATGAGAGAAGACCAGTCTACCTGAGTAAAACGCAAACCGTGTGATCATACAGGCTTGCAATCATCGCAGCCGCAATCATCGAAATCTCTGCTCGCCGTACATCTAGCCGGTTCATGAGACGATATGCCAAAGCGCACTCGGGAGATCAATCCTCTTTCAGACCTGTTTTTAAAGGTATCGCGGACATAGCTTCATACAGCTGTTGGATATCGCTCACAGCAGGTGCACTGCGAAATGGCAGGTCAAGTCGTGGTCCGTTGCTGAATTGCAGAGCAAACTATCGCGTCAACTACACCCACATTGCGCAAACCTACAGAACCTGAGATGAGGAATTTACAGGTTTTTTCTCCTGAGTGCTGGCAGGAAACCGTGAGATTAGAGACAGGGTATAGATGATTGCTGTGAAAAAGATTCGCTCCATGATAGATTGCGCACGCCAGACAACTGGCATTTTATTAGTAACGCGAGATTTCGGCTCCTTTCACAACAGACAACTGCAAAGTAAGCAGTGTGATGTCACTGCTCACTTCCGAAAGGGCGAGTGTGATGGCAAAATTGTAAACTTCATGTATTTCATATAATCAGGCGCACTTCTCCTTTTCTCGTTCAAATCTTCAGCGCCCGAGCGTGCTAAGTGGGAAAATTGTTGGTTTGAGCTTCGTGGATGGTTCAAAGCTATGTGGTGTGAGGACGTTGTTTGCCTCAACACCCTTGTCCATTTCATCACTAATACATGTAGTTGTCAAACTATCATACTGTGTACTATTTCGTGCCTTTGGTTATCGTGAAGTAATTTTGTTACCTTCTTGCCCTTCCTCTCATTATATAAAATAGTTGTCTTACGGAGCAGCATTGTTCCGTCAGCTACGAGTTTGGACTTTGGCATCAACGCTCAAGGCTGATCATGCCAGACAGGAAAGACTGTAACACTGATTTTCAGACTGGTTGAACGAGAAGACAGAGCTGCTGCCAATCTCCCCAGATCAAACGGAGTTGCCTCATATCTGCACTACAGAATCATCCGCTGGTAGTAGCTTGCATCTTGACTCGACCGAGCGTGGCGCCCTCCAAATGTCCTCTACCCAGAAAATGTTATTTCGTATTCAGTGGACCCTGGATAACCAGTTGTTATTTCCAGGAGGCTATGAACTCATCTACCTCGATCAGGAAGGTACACAAGCGCCACATCGAGAAACTATTCCGAACGCTGTTGAGCAGTTCACATCCGTATGCTTTCTTCTGGACGCACAGAATGACAGTAGTACAGTACAGCCAAGAAGGAGCCAGTTAACGACAACAATTCCTAGACATTACCTGTTCGCATTAGCCAGTCTGTTCTTGGGTCGCGACAGCAGTATACTGCAGGCAAGAACCAGCCAGGTAACCTTAACTATTCCTAGACGTTACCTCTACCCAGAAAATGTTATTTCGTATTCAGTGGACCCTGGATAACCAGTTGTTATTTCCAGGAGGCTATGAACTCATCTACCTCGATCAGGAAGGTACACAAGCGCCACATCGAGAAACTATTCCGAACGTTGTTGAGCAGTTCACATCCGTATGCTTTCTTCTGGACGCACAGAATGACAGTAGTACAGTACAGCCAAGAAGGAGCCAGTTAATGACAACAATTCCTAGACATTACCTGTTCGCATTAGCCAGTCTGTTCTTGGGTCGCGACAGCAGTATACTGCAGGCAATAACCAGCCAGGTAACCTTAACAATTCCTAGACGTTACCTGTTAGCATTAGACAGTCTGTTCTTGGGTCGCGACAGCACTACACTGCAGGCAAGAACCGGCCAGTTGATGATAACAATTCCTAGACGTTACCTGTTAGCATTAGCCAGTCTGTTCTCGGGTCGTGACAGCAGTGCAGTGCAGGCAAGAAGCAGCCAGTTGATGATAACAATTCCTAGACGTTACCAGTTAGCATTAGCCAGTCTGTTCTCGGGTCGTGACAGCAGAACACTGCAGGCAATAAATGCCGGCTTTGAGTATCAAAGCCAAGTTAGCCCACGCGGGCACATGCGCAGTGATGGTCTCATGATGCATATCATTAATTATTATTCTGTGCCGAGTATGATCTGTAATTTGCATTTTTGCACTGCTGCTACTGTTGCCTTTATGCGTGCTGCAGTAGCTAGTTGAATGCAGTTTGGTTTGTCTTTCCTTTGGACAAGAAGTGCTTTCCGTGTCAGGCTGGTCATTTCTCTCACTTTTCTGTTCAGTGGTCCGCAACAGCGTCGTTGTCTCCACCAGCCGCGAGCTCCGTCACCCCGTCTGGTCTCACCGCGCCTGGGGCTTCGACTTCGTCTCGTCCTCACCTGCCTGAGTCTGGTAAGCCCTCTCGTTCTGTCGATGTTTATAGCCATGTGGCATTGGCTCAGATCGCGAAAGTGTTGCGTGGGGACTTTATAGATTTGAGCTGTTTGTTGCCCCCGGTCATTGCGTCGACCCCCACTGCTGAGCCTCATCCTAAACGGATTCGCGTGTCCGAAGAGGACGGCGATTTAGTTATGACGGCGTCCTCGTCGTCACGGCTCCGGATCGCCTCGCTCCAGTCCTGGCTGGAGGCTTGGACGATTTATTGTTGTATCGTTGCCGATCAGCAACCGTCGAAGTCCTCCGAGCTGCTGGGTTACCAGCTCATTATTCTCCAGTCGGCTAAGAAATTCCGGTGGGCTGCGGTGGCCGATTACGACACCCAGTTCCGCCAGAGAGCCTCTCGGTGTTCGGAGGTCCTCTGGAACAAGACCGACATGGACTTGTATGCTCGCTGTTTTACGGGCCAGTCCCTACCTATTTGCTCTGCTTGCCACCGGCCCGGTCACCTCGCTGCCTCCTGCTTGTCTAGCCCACGTGGCCGGCAGCCACAGTCGGCTGCTAGGGCTTGTGATGCGTTCAACCGCGGACGGTGTAATTTTCGCTCCTGCCGATTTCGTCATGTGTGCTCCTCGTGTGGCGCGGGGGACCATCCACGCAGCCAATGTACTGCCTCCGGCGTTGCCAGCAAGTCCACGTAGTGTGCCTTCGGCTTCTCCCTTGTCTGAGCATCGCCCGTTTACTCCTGTCCATGTCGCCTCCCTGGCGGATGAGCTCCAGTCCCATCCTGACAGGGATTTCGTGGCCACACTCCTCAATGGCCTGCGTCATGGCTTCCGCATTGGTTATACTGGTCCCCGCTCTTCCCTCGTTAGCTCTAACCTTGTTTCCTCCTATGACAATCCTGATATTGTGAGTGAGTACTTGGCCAAAGAATGTGCTCGTGGCCATACCGCTGGTCCGTTCCTCCGGCCTCCCTGTGTTCCATTTCGTTCCGCGGGTATTGGTGTTGTCCCCAAGAAGTCAGGTGGCCACCGGCTTATTGTGCATTTGTCTGCTCCTGCGGGCCACAGCATTAATGACTGTATTCCAGCTGATCGCTTCCGCCTTATGTATATAACCGTGGACGACATCGTTCGGCATGTGATTCGTCAGGGAAAGGGTTCTCTAATGTTTAAAGTGGATATTCAGCACGCGTTTCGCAATATTCCGGTCCACCCTGCTGATTGGCCCATGCTGGGCATGGTGTGGCAGGGTCGTTATTACGTTGATAAGGTCCTCCCATTTGGGATGCGCTCCTCACCGGCTTTGTTCAACGTTCTCGCCGATGCTGTGTGCTGGATCCTGCGGCACAATTATTCTATTCTTTCCATGGAACATTATCTTGATGACTACATTGGTGTTGCCCCTCCGAGCTCTGCGCTCCCTCTCTCCACAGCGGCTATTCAGATGGCTACCGTTCTCCAAGTCTTTGATAACCTTGGCATTCCCGTTGCATCCGGTCCTGGCAAGGTGGTTGGCCCCGCCACCGTGGTGACCATTCTTGGTATTGAGGTCGACAGCGTGGAGCAGGTCATGCGGCTCCCCGCTGAGAAGTTGTCTGCTCTGCACTCAGCCCTGGCTGTCTGGTCTGCTCGTACTAGTTGCACGAAGCGGGAGCTGCTGTCTTTCATAGGCACCCTTTCATTTGCTGCCAAGGTGGTGCCTCCTGGTCGGACTTTCATCCGGCGCCTCATCGACTTGAGCTGCACCGCTCCCTCCCTGCAGTCTATCATTACACTCGATGCCGAAGTTCGCTTGGACATTGCGTGGTGGCGTCGGTTTGCTGCCACTTGGAATGGCCGTTCTTTCTTTCATGACCTCCAGTGGTCCACATCCCCTGATCTTGATCTCTTTACTGATGCTTCGGATGTAGGCTTTGGTGGCTATTATGCCCGCCAGTGGTTTTTGGGACGGTGGCCCGCTGAACTGCTCGACGAACCGATTATGGTTCGCGAGCTGATCCCTATTGCTCTAGCTTGCGCTGTTTGGGGTCATGCTTGGTCTGGCAAGCGGCTTATGTTCCATTGCGATAATGAGGCTGCTGTGCTGGCATGGCGGAAAGGGTCATGTCGTAACAAAAATGCAATGGCTATTATCAGATTTCTGCTGGCTGAAGCTGCATCTGGCAATTACATTTTGTTCATACGGCACATTGCTGGTGTAAATAATGCTGTGGCTGATGCGTTGTCTCGGTTTCAGATGTCTCGGTTCCGAGAACTGGCCCCCGCAGCCTGCAGCCATCCAGTACACGTGCCTTCCCCCAGCTCGCTGCTCTGAGTGCGGCCAGTGACGCGCTAGTTGAGGACTCCGTCTCGGAGCGTACCAAACAAACATTTAAGCCTGGTATTGCTGCTTATTTAGAGTTCTGCCGTTCTAACTCCATTGTGGCACTTTCTCCTACTACTGAAAATATTGTGTCCTTCACCACTAGTCTCTTTGTTGTAAGAAGTCTGTCTCTGTCATCAATTCGCGTTTACCTAGCGGCAGTCCGCTACTACCTGTTGTGCAATGGGGCGGCAGTGGATGTTTTAAAGTCTGCTCGCCTAACAGCAGTGTTGCATGGCATAGAGAGACGGCAACCCCCCTCAGCGTTGGCTCGGAGAGAGCTTTCGGTGGACGACTTGATCCATTTCCGGCGATACTTGCAACGTTCAAATTATGCATATGTGGATCAGACTATGCTGTGGGCAAGTGTAACTCTAGCCTTCTATGGCTTGCTGCGTGCCAGTGAGTATCTGGCGCCTTCTATTCACACGTTTGACAGCCAAAGAGCACTTGTGTGGACGGCTGTCAGTATTGCACCCGACTCGGTCACGCTGCGGCTGAAAGTCACTAAGACGCGCCAATCTGGCGACGGTGGAACTGTCACGGTGTCTTCTACTGGCGACGAAACGTGCCCGGTACTGGCAATGTCCGAATTCCGGCGCACGACAGCTCAAGCCTGCAGCGCTCAACCTGTGTTCGCTTTTGCTGAAGGGAATTACCTTACTCCGCCATGTTTGAACAAGATACTTCGTCAGGCTCTCAACTGCAACCAGGTGAGCTCCCACTCCATGCGGATTGGTGGGGCGACACTCCTGGCGTCCAGAGGTGCAAGTGAAGCGGTGATACGACGGGCAGGGCGGTGGCGCAGTACAGCTTCTGAGCGCTATGTTCGGCAAGTGGCCGGCATGCCACCCCAATGGACAAGTAGTGTAGCATCTCTACGTGACAGGGTGTGAGTGCAAGTGAGTGTTATGCTCTGCTGACATTTATTGATTCCGTGCCGATAGGCGGTATACAGATCCCTTCATTTAACTATAAGTATTAGGTGGGGTTTGCCATTGTCACTCATGTCGGCCCTGATAAGCAGTGTGATGGATGCGTTTGGCTCCAGGTGTCTGTTTTTGGGAGGGCCACGTATACATGGCTGCTGTGTTGCTGCTGCAATGTTGTGGCAGCGCCATCTTGATGTGATGGACTGGTGTTGTAACAGTGTACCCATTTGCTGTTGCTGGGTACCGTAGTTTGTCAGTTGTGCCTGTTTGAAGTTGCCAGGCCAGCTTGTATTGGTGCGTTCCCGTTTGCTGTTGCCGGGACACCATGTTTGTAACGGCGTACCCGTTTGCTGTTGCCGGGGCCGTGTTTGTACTGGTGCGTTCCCGTTTGCTGTTGCCGGGGCACCATGTTTGTAACGGCGTACCCGTTTGCTGTTGCCGGGGCCGTGTTTGTATTGGTGCGTTCCCGTTGAGTTTGCCGGGGCACCTTGTTTGTAACGATGTACCCGTTTGCTGTTGCCGGGTGACATGTTTGCCAATTGTGCTTGTTACAAATTGCCGTGCTGTGCTCGTTATGAGGCGATAAGAATTATGAGCCATGCATTGGCTTGTGCCCAATGGCTCTTGCTAACACGGCAATTTGCTATCATTGGTGATATTTCAAAGAGTGACAAATGTGAAAAAAGATAATGGCAAACCCCCCAACTAGGTTCTATGCTTGGTGTGCTGGTGCGAGCAAGTTTTGCAAGCATATTGCAATGTGGAATACATGCGTGTGTATACATAATAATTATTATTACGCTTGGCCACAAGGCCTAGCGGGCGTGTGCACGCACACTTGGGTGTGCGGTAGCAGGTGCATGCATGTGGGTTAAATGCCGGCTTTGAGTATCAAAGCCAAGTTAGCCCACGCGGGCACATGCGCAGTGATGGTCTCATGATGCATATCATTAATTATTATTCTGTGCCGAGTATGATCTGTAATTTGCATTTTTGCACTGCTGCTACTGTTGCCTTTATGCGTGCTGCAGTAGCTAGTTGAATGCAGTTTGGTTTGTCTTTCCTTTGGACAAGAAGTGCTTTCCGTGTCAGGCTGGTCATTTCTCTCCCTCCCTCCCTCCCTTTTGCAATCGCTTGGAGGGCCACGTATACATGGCTGCTGTGTTGCTGCTGCAATGTTGTGGCAGCGCCATCTTGATGTGATGGACTGGTGTTGTAACAGTGTACCCATTTGCTGTTGCTGGGTACCGTAGTTTGTCAGTTGTGCCTGTTTGAAGTTGCCAGGCCAGCTTGTATTGGTGCGTTCCCGTTTGCTGTTGCCGGGACACCATGTTTGTAACGGCGTACCCGTTTGCTGTTGCCGGGGCCGTGTTTGTACTGGTGCGTTCCCGTTTGCTGTTGCCGGGGCACCATGTTTGTAACGGCGTACCCGTTTGCTGTTGCCGGGGCCGTGTTTGTATTGGTGCGTTCCCGTTGAGTTTGCCGGGGCACCTTGTTTGTAACGATGTACCCGTTTGCTGTTGCCGGGTGACATGTTTGCCAATTGTGCTTGTTACAAATTGCCGTGCTGTGCTCGTTATGAGGCGATAAGAATTATGAGCCATGCATTGGCTTGTGCCCAATGGCTCTTGCTAACACGGCAATTTGCTATCATTGGTGATATTTCAAAGAGTGACAAATGTGAAAAAAGATAATGGCAAACCCCCCAACTAGGTTCTATGCTTGGTGTGCTGGTGCGAGCAAGTTTTGCAAGCATATTGCAATGTGGAATACAGGCGTGTGTATACATAATAATTATTATTACGCTTGGCCACAAGGCCTAGCGGGCGTGTGCACGCACACTTGGGTGTGCGGTAGCAGGTGCATGCATGTGGGTTAAACAGCCATTTAACGTTGACAATTCCTAGACATTATCAGTTCGCATTGTCTATCCCCTTCTTGGATCAACCCAGCAGCACAGTACAGACAAGAACCAGCAAGGCATTGATAACCACTTGTATTTTGTTAGTATGTGCTCCGTTCTGTCTTGTTCTGGCCCATCGCGTTTTTTTGCAGAGCAATGATATTATTTTTCAGTATGATGACATTCCCAAGACTGTCTTGTCTCGTCCGTATGTGTGATAATATTGAGCATGAGTGATTCCTGCGTCTTGAGTTTTGGCTTTTCATTCATCTTGTTTAGCATGCATGCAACTGGAGAATTGCAGAAGACTAGTCTTGTACTTTGCTGTTCCGGGTGTTACGCTCTGACTCCGTGGTCTTCAGCATAATAATAATAATAGCGTATTTCTATGCGTATCATGCGCCAGGTTTGAATAGCATTGCACAGGCAAATTTCGCGCGAAAGTATTAACGTGACCACACAGGACTCTAGAAGTAGATTTTTGGCGGAATATCGGTATTTGACCCGCGTCAACTGCCTTCATGTAAACGGTCGCCTGATTTGTCTGTCGTACAAACTTTCAACCCCGGCAGAACTCGAACTGGGTTGAAATTTCTCATGTAACCAAAACAGCCTAGCATACCTCCATGCTTAGGGTCCAGCGGATAATGCCGGCATTATATTCGGCACATATGAGAGTATCCGAGCATCAGAGCATTATGGAGCAATAGAAAGGAACAAGACGAGCATTATCTGAGGTTTGAGCGGCATAACGACTTTCTAAGTGGATAATGTCGGAAAATACCAGGTTTTTTACAACAATCAGGTAAAGTCATGAGGTGCAACGACATGTATTGTGCCGGGACATGACTTTGTGATTGTGTAGACACGTAACATCTTTAGCACCAATGCTACATTTACCTGACTACATACATGTAATGCCATTGCTACATGAAGTCTTTATGTAGCAATGTGGTCAGGTAAATGTACCGGTGATGTAGCATGCCGAAATTGCAACTGAGACTGTTAAACAGAATCCGTTACGATGATTAACGAGGAGTTCTCTTTTTAGAAATCATGGAGAGCCATGGAGGAGACTAGACGTACGCGAAGTGAATATCAAACAGACGAAGAGGAGATTTCCTGTTATGCCATAGGCTCTGGTCAAAGCATTTGTACTATTCTCTAGCGATACTGAAGTAAACACTGATCCATTGATAAATTTGGACCTGGATGAAGGAGCGGCTATAAACAGAGAGAACTTGTTCCACAGAACTGCCTTTGCCGAGTCCAGCTCAGCAGGCTCGAAAAGAGCTAGAATTCCTCATGGACGCGGTACCAAGTCGATTTGAGTGCTCAGGAGTGCGTGTCTTACTTTCCTGGTGAAGCACATACAGTTCGTCGTGGACGATTGTCATGCAACGCCTACAAGTACAGTCCATTGCTATCAGGAAAGAAGAGTATTATGGCGAACCATTTGTCTCCACGGAACCGCAGGAGAAGAAGACTGCGCACGCAGAGGATGTAGAGCGGCAAAATAATTTCTGACCACATGTTTTCATTATTTCCGCAAATGGGAGGGATCTCGATCTGAGATTGTCTGGCTCTCAGGAACTGGCCTCACGTGAGCTGTTTCAGATGAAGACATTTTCACAGAATGGAAGCAGTGACAGCTTGTCTGCAGGCATGAATACCACTTCCCATGATAGGCTTTTAGCATGCAAATGAACACCAGCAATAATGGTTTCACCTCTCACTACATGGATAAGCAAGGGAAAATATTTGATACACCCACTGTTTAGCCACAGCCCTGCATCAAATTTGAAATGGAGAGCAGCCAATGGAGACGCGATCATGCACTATAGTGCTAAGAAGTGGTGGAGGTTGTGAGAGGTATTGTAGCAGCTTCAGAGGCAGATCGGCTAAATGCATCCTTTTTCTGGAATTAAGTTTGACAATGTGCATCATTTCTTCCATTTTTGTTTCAAACTAAGAGCATTATAGCCCTTGTTGAAGCATTATCATCAGCATAAGCGGGAATTTTGGAGCAATATGATTAGCATTATACGAACATTTTCGGAGCATTATCCGCTGGACCCTATGGACCATGGGCAACAAAAAATAAGAAGCGCGACCCCGCAGGAAATCATAAGAGGATGAGAAAAATATAGAAAAATGTCTGAGGAAGTAAAGAAAACACACACACACACACACACACACACACACACAACGGACGGATGTCACAAAAGTGGTATACTAAACATGCACTACAGTTATCACGTTGCTGTACTCTAAAGTTTTAGTTCAATATTTGTATATAATACGCATCACTCAAACTAGCGCTATAGCGCTAACATTGCCAAAGTCGGGCCAAACAACACTTTACCAAACCAATTGGCACAAAAAAACTACGAGTTGAAAGGAACACTGCATTCTGACTGCCACGGCTAACCAGCATAGTTACACTTACGCAGCACGAATAATAGAGCTTGGCTCACCATCAGACCCCTGATATCAATGAAGGATACCCGCGCGCACACCCACTACAAAAATTATACAAAATAAATAAACCCAAAATAAATTTTACGACGAAACTCGGATGGACCTTTAATTGAGAAATAATGAAAATAGCTGACCTGCATGACTTGGACGAGACGAGGTTTACATAGAAGAGACGAGGTTGACATAGACGAGACGTGGTTGGAGACGAGCCGAGGAATACTGACGACGAGACGGGGTTGGAGACGAGACGAGCATTACTGAGCACGGGACGATAATCTCGGGGTCGTTGGTTCGAGCACCATGTTAGACATTGTGGAGTAGGAACAGGACGTCATACTCCCAAAACACGAAGGACAGGGGAGCAGTTAGATGGGACGACATTTATTACGGGACAGAGACGAAGAGACCGAGACAAAGACGAACGGAACGACTACATTATGGAAGAGAGAGACAAGAGATCACGTGACGGCGGCAAGATAAAGGGTCTGGGTGGCTAATGCAAATATGCGTGCGCAATTAGCTACCCAGGCCAATGGGATAAAAGGTGACAAACAGGAGACAAAAGGTGAGTACAACGTACGGGAGGAGGTAACTAACATAATGAATGCGTTCCGATTGATTTAGAACGTACAGTGAATACAATGTTTAGCCTCTTCTCGAGTGTCATGATTAGGCAAGAAATCATCATTAGATACATGAGATACATGTAATATATTACCTCACTGAGTGTGACATTTTCATGGCGGATATGGAACTGAGACCCATGGTCTGTTGAGCTGCTCTTGCCCCGCCTCCACTGCTTAGGCTGCCATTCCTATGTGTATCCCTGTGCGTTTTTGCCGGTGTTTGCACCACGATGGTTTGTGGCTACTTTGTAAAAAAATAGATATATATGGCGGATCTATTTACACAGAAGTGGACAGTATAGCATAACCTGTAGTTCCTTTTGCGTAAATTGAACCTTGGCTCTCCAGCCGAGTCCAAACACTGGATTCTGGGAGTAAACACATAGACTGCTTGACTTAAGCTGAGGTTTGTGGAGGTGCCAGTACAAGTCATGTATGCCCAGTAATGTACTATTCAGCTCTTGTTACATTTCACGAGATTCAGTTGCTGACTACATCCCAGACGTGTACAAGTTTGCTATCATCCACAAACAAATCATAAGATCTATATTGAAAAAATTATGCAATAATCATCGTCAAGGCAACGAAGAGGCGATTGAGATTTTGGGAAGTAACAAGTTGCCCACTTGTCGGTGAGTCTGATCTACTCACTTCCCAAGGGCCGGGGCCAAAGCTTCAAGCATCTGCGCGCCTTTGATCCGTGAGAGCTGTGGTGTTCCTACGCATGAGAGAAGATCAGTCTACCTGAGTAAAACGCAAACCGTGTGATCATACGGGCTTGCAATCATCGCAGCCGAAATCATCGAAATCTCTGGTCACCGTATATCTAACCGATTCATGAGACGATATGCCAAAGCGCACCCGGAAGATCAATCCTCTTTCAGACCTGTTTTTAAAGGTGTCGCGGACAGAGCTTCATAAAGCTGTTGGCTATCGCTCACAGCAGGTGCACTGCGAAATGGCAGGTCAAGTCGTGGTCTGTTGCTGAATTGCAGAACAAACGATCGCGTCAACTACACCCACATTGCGCAAACCTACAGAACCTGAGATTGTTGTTGTTGTTGTTGTTGTTGTTGTGTTTATTTTTGATGAGGTGATGAATTTACCGGGTTTTTCTCGTGAGCGCCGGCAGGAAACCGTGAGATTAGAAACAGAGTATAGTGATTGCTGTGAAAAAGATTCGCTCAATGATAGATTGCGCACGCCAGACCACTGGCGTTTTATTAGTAACGCGAGATTTAGGCTCCTGTCACAACAGACAACTGCAAAGGAAGCAGGGTGATGTCACTGCTCACATCCGCAAGAGCGGGTGTGATGGTAAAATTCTAAACTTCATGTATTTCATATAATCAGGTGCGCTTCTCCTCTTCTCGTTCAAATTTTCAGCGCCTGAGCGTGCTAAGTGGGAAAATTGTTGGTTTGAGCTTCGTGGATGGTTCAAAACTATGTGGTGTGAGGACGTTGTTTGCCTCAACACCCTTGTCCATTTCATCACTAATACATGTAGTTGTCGAACTATCATACTGCGTACTATTTCGTGCCTTTGGTTATCGTGAAGTAATTTTGTTACCTTCTTGCCCTTCCTCTCATTATATAAAATAGTTGTCTTACTGAGCAGCATTATTCCGTCAGCTACGAGTTTGGACTTTGGCATCAACGCTCACGGCTGATCATGCCAGACAGGAAAGACTGTAACGCT